GCCACATTAGGGCGCACCAGCTCTGGGGGCGCAAGAATTGAGTGACCGGCAGGAAGTAAGCGCACAGCGCTACTCCTACCAGTCACTTGGCGGGGAGGGGAACACTAACTGTTCTTGAAAACATAAATAAACTCTGACTGACATATATATTTTGTGCATTTACCACTTAACCCCTTCAGGACGGAGTCAGTAGTACACGTTCTGATCAAAACAAAACGTAAACAAAAACTGGAATTTGCGCTATATGTCTGTTCAACCGTAATTCACCTCTGTCACATTAAGTGCACCCACACTTATTACAGTTGCAAGAAAAAGTATGTGAACCCTTTGGAATGATATGGATTTCTGCACAAATTGGTCATAAAATGTGATCTGATCATCATCTAAATCACAACAATAGACCATCACAGTCTGCTTAAACTAATAACACACAAAGAATAAAATGTTGCCATGTTTTTATTGAACACACATTATTTGCCGGGGGAGGGCCTCCAGAAGAGGATCGCGGCGGAGGTAAGTCCACCGGACCTCCAGGGGCTGCAAGCCGTTACGGCGTTCTATGCCGCCGCAACAGGTTTAAAGCCCTTTTAATGCGGGACGGCATAGAACGCCGTAACAGCGTTAAGGGGTTAATAAAAAAATGATTTTCAAAAATAAATAAATAATATCAAACATGTTCAATTAACAGTAGATTTGTGTAGAAATTATTTCCTTTTTCGAAATGGTAAATGTACAGAGTATCAGCATCGGTAAGTTATCAGCTATCGGCCTGAAAGTTCACAGACTATTGGTATCGGCTCTAAAAAATCAATATCGGTTGATCTCTAGTACGTGGTTCATCTCAAATCCTATGTTCTTTTATACACACATTTACACACACACATATACACACAAAGATCACAATTTACATATGTTTAGCCACCCCCATGTTTCCATACCTTTTTGGCACAGGTGGGAGGCTTCCCTGGAGTCCAGTGGCATCTGGCTGAGTCTGGTGGGAGTCTGGTCCAGGCTCTCCTTCCTCTCTGGTCCTCCCCTCTCTTCTTCTCCCACGCTCTCGTTGATAAGCTTGGATGAAGTGACTTATACTCTCTTTCTTCCAGCACCTTGGCTTCACAAAGAGCAGGACGCTCGGTCACTCTGTTAAAGGGACGAGGTGCCTGACTGGGCCCCTGATCAAAGATGGCCATTGGGTGGCCTTAAGTGCATGTAGATGAGTTTACTGACAAACTCCATTATTTCAATCAAATGGTCTCATAGAGATCATCTGACTGGCGCAGCTCTGGGTTTTACTGCACATGCGCACCAGCCTCCCAATAGTTGCCACTCTACAATAAGGTTTTTTCGTATTCCATTTGGTGAAAAATCTGCAACTGGATGAAAGCCACTAGAACAAACCACTTCATTTAATCTGTAATTCAAAGTTCTTTAACTTGTGTGATTTGAGGAGCCTTCTCAATGCACCCTAAACCCTTTGATAGTGCAAGACCTGTCATTTTTAACTGGAATGGAACCTATAGCTAGAGTTGTATCACAACTGAATATAACTTCCCTTCAGACATTATTTGCACAAACCGTTCTTCAGCCACAGTGCAAGATATAGTAAGTTAGTAAGTGCTTAAATCCATTATAAGTAGGGCCACGGCCTTCCACATTATGCCAATCTGATGAACTGGTCTAACATGACTTCAAAGGGGTCTTCCCACAAGTCTAAACTCATTAATTCAGGGTACCATTCGATGACGCCGGATCAATAAGGAAGAGAGGGTAAGTGGAATATTGAATCAATTAAAGTGCTCATTTCACTATATGATTTCCACCATGCAACATTGTCTAGTTACTATGTATGACTTTAGATATGCATTTTAATTTATTTTATCTCTCAGAATGATTATCTTTATGTGGCTATAATCGTACAACACATCTAAGGTTATTTAAGTGAGTACTCTTGCAGCTCTGTTGGGTTTATTAATAAATTCTGCGTGAATATAAAACATGACAATACCGGGAGTATATTTTCTATATAGCCGATTTACACAATTAGTATATACACCATTGTATCGGAGCAACTTTACAATAAGCGCTTTTTATATTAAACAAACAATGAATTTTGCGATTCACATGCTCGTTCTACACAGTGTCGAAAAGTGTTATAAAGTAAATATTTGATGTATGCTTCATTGTATCGATTTGTTAGAGAGATGATTGGCTAATTACTGGGTGGGTGGTGTGGATCACCTATGACAGTACAGCCAATCAAAGGAAGGTGAACAGGATTTAAACTTTGTGGGGGGTTAAGGCACTCACATTGCTTTGAAAAAGTCATATGAAGACGAAACCGGTCGGCACTCGGCACTCTTTATTCTGACAAGGAATCCACTCCACGGAGCACTCTACATTTGTGCGGTTCAACATCAATCTCGACTGAGGACCCAGAAGCAGTAGTTTATATGGAGGACGTTTCTTACCACTTAAAGCTCTTACAACTTGAAGAACCAAAGCCATCACAGTGCGGCCATCTATAGCCATACAGGCGATCTGCGCTAATCCATAGCACAATTTATTCTTATAAGAGCGTTGACCAGCAGTTTACGATTTTATTGTATAGAATGTTACGCTACGATATGTTTCAATCTTTTTTTCACATGTAATAAATTGTAACCATTCGAGATTTAAAAAATTGGAATCCAGATCTATATCACTGGTATCAAAAAGAGTGATTATCCATTTTTATATATTCTATAATTTCCTATTCACGTACTGTGCATGTGCCCACCTATGTATGAATGTAAAACGTGCTGGGGCAGATTTAGCCTCTCTGATTGTTAAGACACCTAACAGAACCATTTCACGAGTGCAATGTCTATGGTGAGTGGTACATCTCAAACCCTATGTTCTTTGATGGCGAGGGGCTCTGGCTTTTGTGGGATTGTGAATTGTGTGAATGGCGATAACACACAGCACCAGGAGCTTTGATAAAATTAGCAGAATTCTGATAAAGAATAATATAGAGTGATTGTGAATAGAAGATGATGATTGAGAATGGATGGTTATTACCGTTAGTTATCTTGCTAAGTACTTTGTATAAAATTGCCGTATTAGCCAAATTGTAAGATCACGGCAGGGTCCTCTCTTCCTTTTTCTATCGGTACATTATTTGTCTGTATTCCCTCTGTTGTACACTGCTGCAGAATATGTTGGCACTATTTAAAGGGACACAATAGTCACCAAAACAATTTTAGCTTAATGAAGCAGTCTTAGTGTATAGATCACGCTCTTGCAGTCTAACTCTCTTCTATCTAGGAGTTAAAGCACTTGTGTTTCTGTTTATACAGCCCTAGTCACACTTCCCCTGTCTGTGACTCACACAGCCTACATGAAAACAAAATGGTTTCATTTCTAATCAGATGGTAATTTACATTAAAAGTTTGTATCTCCTGCTCTGTAGATTGAGCTTTAATTACATACGTGAGGTTCCTGCGGGGTCTTGCAGGCTATAAACAGAGCAGGAGATAAGAAATTCTAAATTGAACAGAATTCATAATAAAGGGAGTTTAAATATTAGATCTCTCTTTACAATAAGTGTTTAGGAAGGCTGTGTAAGTCACATGCAGGGAGATTTGACTAGGGCTGCATAAACAAAGTGATTTAACATCCCTGATGTGACGGACCACCTGGCACCCCAACCTGGATGCCTCCACCAATCACTCCTTCTAGTACCTCCGAGTACTTCCAAGCACTCCAACAGACACCATCAGCACCGTAGTCTCCACTTCCAGCGTTATGGCTTGGCTGGGGTTTCACTGTCCTCCACCCACCATGGACCCAAGACCGGGATCCAGCTTCCAGTGGGCAGACCTCTCCTACTCCAGAGTGTAGCAGGCTGCTCTTCCAAGAGAAGTGATTATAACCCAGAGGAGTATAGTGATATAGCAATCCCCAGAGAAAATACAGCTATGACTCTATGTTGAGTGTAGGCAGGAACTCATTTATTGGTAGCCACAGCTGATCTTATATGCAAGGGGCACTCCCCCCCGAACTAAACCCATGCAAGGGGCACTCCACGCTGGACCTGAGAGTAGACCAGTAAAAACATACACACGATTACATTGGCTCTCAGGTCCAGGATACTCCCACATAAAACAAGATAATCACTCCTCTGTGCCTGGGATATAATTGAGACAAGGACTGTACAAAACTCAATTATCTCCAGGCACATAAAAACACACATTTCCCAAACACCCCAAAAGTACCTTAAACATACACAAAATCCCATAAAAGTTACATCCCCTCATAGCCGTTCTAGGTGACCAACATATCCAAAAATCACCCAGATCGGTTCAGAGGTTCGGGATTTTCCTGGAAGTCATAATTTGACTGACCACATGCATCGTCCTATGCCGAAAATAGTTCCATAGACTCACGGCAAAGTCTTCATGCCGAAAATAGTTCCAGGGCATTCGTCCCCCTGAAGTGTATTCGCGGTTTTGGTCCATGCGAACGACCGCCAGGGAGCTAGCGTTCGGTTCTATGCACATGAATGGAAAGTGCCGAACCAGGGGAACCAAAAGGGAATAAAATATGGGTCTTTGCAGTCGCTGACTTGGCCCATAGTGGGCCAGCGGGCAAGAGGCTGTCTAGCAAGCCCCTCTAAGAACCCATGACGAGGTTCAGTTCATCACACCCAATGGCAGATAATTAAGCCGTGAGATGGCAGGGACATGGTCTATACATCAAAACTGCTTCATTAAGTTGTTTTGGTGACTATAGTGTTCCTTTAAATACCAAAAATTGATGCAATGGGGATACCTATTTACTGACAGCCTTTAGAAGTGTCTGAAGTGTCCAACCTCTGAATCAGGGCTTACATTTTAAAGTCCTACAATCACTGCATCGGCACCTTTTGCTCTAGTAAGCTTTTCATTTAGTAACAGGCAGATGTACCAACAGTTTATCGTTGCATACATGCAAAACATGTTGTATGTAAGTGGTTAATGCTCCAAATTCTCACTGGTGAAGAACTAGCCAGGTCTAAAAGGTTACTCTCCACTGCAAGCCTGGAGAGTCCACGGCACATTCACCAGGGTTGATTGCTACCTGGGCGGGCTACATTCGCCAATGGCTAATGACACTGGCTAATCTTGGAAGTCACATTTAGGTCTTCAAAAGGTATAAACCATAGTGATCCCTTTGGTGATTGCCAGTTTTAGGCTAGATGCAACTAGGCAGGGAACATTGGAATGAGCTCAGAGTGAAGGACAGAACACAAAATCCTTCTGGAGGCCTCGGTACAGGTTCTCCTGTTCAGTGCTCAGGGAACACTCATAGGCTAAGAGGAAACAATCAAAAACTGCAAGGGTTAGTTCAATGGATCTTGAGTTTTGTAGCATCTAGTATGAACGGTGTATAGATATTTTACAGATGTCTGCACATCTGTAAGCGTTGTTTCGAACACATGGTAGCAGATATAGATTCCCAATATGTCCGAGCTCCTATTGATTTTCCGTTCTGTTTTGTTTTGGGTAAAGGTAATTTTATTATGGCACTGGCTCCTGGTTTCGATAATTTATTCCGATTGTTACTAAGTGACTCCAATTAGTATCCCATGACAACCCCCTTATTCGGAAAGACTAAACTTGATCCAAATTGCTAGTTTCCTCCATGACAGCTTCCAGCCGTCCGCACTGATGAAGAGATACGGCCAAATAAACAAACAAATATATGAATTAATAATAAGCTAGATGCTTATTAATAAAGGTCATTTAAGCTACTGAAATATTTATACGCTTTTTCAAATCTCCCTATAGATCCATATCGCATCTGCAATACAAAGATCTGTGCGTTTAACTCAGATTAACATTTTGAAAATCTTCTGAAACTCCCCAAATCATCTGAAAATCCCAAAATGGTCTGAATCTCTCCAGCCAGGTGAAGACAACCACTGCATCGGCACTTTTTGCTTTTTATTCAGTAGCTGGCAGATGCACCAACAGTGTATAATTGCATCCATGCGCCAGATGATGTATGTCAATGGTTAATACTCCCACTGCTCATTGGTGAAGTCAGAAGAGCCCAAGTTACCCGGCACTAGATCGCTTGCTATTCACCGCTCTGTGTCCTGGTGGGATCTCTCTAGTTTAGGTGGGCTGTTATGGTCTCAGAAATGATGGACCCAGGGTAAACATTTACTGTGTGTGAAGAATCACCCTCCACTCATTCGGTTCTCTCCCTCCCTGCTACTTTATTTGTTGGATTTATTACCTTTATTGCTGGTTCATTCGTTACTTTCATTTCGGTAATTTCCCTTGTTCGGTAAAATAGTCAGCTTACCGAATGAGGACCACCCTGGGTAGCAATTAGAACTTAGAACGCTGAGTAACTGCCTGAAAACCGCAAGTTAATTGACTGTTTCGAGGTGGCCGCCATCTTAACTTCCGAACGGCGGCCAGCGGGACTTGGTCGTCGAGTGCCAGGAACTGTTTTCAGCATTGAAACTCGACGAACACCCGGTCCCCCTCTGGAAGTCCAATACGAACCACTTGTAAATACGGCAGAAGAACGGCGTTCGGGAGTTTGAAACAGACAAACGAGGGAAGCATTCTCCAAGATATCTACAGCGGGTTTCGTGCAAATTTCATCCGAACGGAGACCAGCTCTTGCCACTGATTCTATAGAACTCTGAGTCGGCTACAATCTCGTGGTGAGCAGGTCAAACTTCCCCGTCGTATAACTCTAAAACTACCAAACGGATTTTCGCAAATTTTTAATATGTTGCTCACATCACCCTCAGCTATCCAGGGATATGGATTTTTATATTAATCTGTTATGTATAAAATATATTTTTAAGAATTGTGAAAAATTTTAACTTTTCTGGCCAGTAGATAATTGTGTTTAATATGCTGCTCAAACTCAATTATCTAGCCTGGCCCAGAGGAGGAGTTATGTGTTGCATAAATTGAGCACCCTTGTTCCCAGTAAATCAGTCTTGTTCCAGCACTAAGCTTTGGCTCATGTGTGGATTATTCGGCGATACCAGCGATTTATTACTCTGTGGATTACTTGGCTATTTTATTTTATGGGGAAAAGGGAATGATTGACGGTTCACAGGATTATACTGTCACACTGTGCAGATTTGGTTCAGGAAGACCAGAATAGCTTTTTTAAACTAAGGAGAATCCACCTTATTCTGAACTAATCAGGGAAATCTAAACAATTATTGGGCCAATATGTAAATACCTAATGTCAACCTCTATGTGAATAAATGGGCATGCACTGCACATCAAACTTTCTGGGTGTTACACATTACACTTGTCTTCCATTGCTGGAGGCCAAGGGGGGATCCTTGAAACGTACAAGTAGAGATTTCTTTACAAATATTACCATCAATCTTCTCTGAGTTTCTCATGACCCAACTGCTTCTAGTTTCTAGTTGTGTGAACACAAAAACCTTGTGTTTCCTTCACCTTTATTTCATGTATATCTTTCTCTATACCTCCCTATACCTTGTGATTTTATCCATCCCTATTCCCTCTAAATTATTATCAGGACTTTCTATATATCTCGTGTTTCCACTGTCCCACTTTCCCTTTAGATTGTAACCCTGTGAGCCCAGCTCTCACTATGCCTTGTGTTTCCCATTCCCTTTAGATTGTAAGCCTGTGAGCCCAGCTCTCACTATGCCTTGTGTTTCCCATTCCCTTTAGATTGTAAGCCTGTGAACCGAACTCTCACTATACCTTGTATTTCGCATTCCTTATAACTTGTAACAGCCAGAAGCGGCTCTAGACTTTATGAGGCCCTAGGAGAAACCCAAACATGAGGCCCCACTAACAAAAAAGTGAAAAAAATAGAGTTGCAATACATGCACACATATACACATTGATGCACTGTTTACCTGGGTATGTGCCTGAGAGTGTGTGTCTGACAGAGAGTATCCTTGTGTGTGTGAATGTATGTCTCTGTGAGCATGTTTGCGTTTTTGTCTGGGACCGTATATGTATGGGGTAGCTGCTTGAAGTGTGTTGTGTGTATGGGGGTCTGCCTGTAGCCTTTGTGCATTGTGTTTATGGCAAAGCTATGTTTTCTGACTGTGTGTGTATGATGAATGTCTTCAGCTGGTGACTGTGACAAGGTGAGTAAAGGGGTACCAGTGGCAGGGAAAGCGTGACAGGGAAAATGGGGGTAAATGGGTGGGTGGGGGGTTGTGAGAGAGAATGAGGGAAAGGGAGTATGACATGGTTTGATGAGGGAGTGTGACAGGGAAAGTGGAGGTAAGTTTGTCAGGTAAATTGTGGCATGGTAGGAGGGATGAGTGTGACAGGATTAAGGGGCCTTGATGTGACAAGGTGAGTGGCAGAGTTGACAGGATTAGAGGCATTAATGTGACAGGATACGTGTGGCAGGGTTTGGGTGGAGAGTGTGACAGAGTGAGAGAAGGTGAGTGTGACAGAATTAGGGGGGTAATTTGACAGGGTGAGGGCAGGTGAGTTTGGAGGGGGTGAGATTAACAGGATTAGGAGTGGTTAATGTGAGTGTGGGTGCATGAAGAGGCTGACAGTGTGGTGGTGATGACAGTGTTGGGAGAGATGACAATGGGTGGGTAGGTGACAGTGTGAAAGGATGCTAACAGTGTGTCTGGGGAGGCTGACAGTGTGTGGGAGTGGTGACACAACATTTTTGTGGATGACAGTGTGTGGGGGGCATGACAGTGTGTGTGTGTGTGAGTGAAGGGGTGACAGTGTGCATGAGGGAGGGTGACAGTGTGTGAGGGGGTAATACTGTGTGTGAGAGAGGGGTGACATTGTGTGTGTGTGTGTGTGTGTGTGTGAGGTGATTCTGTATGGGAAGGGAGTGATACTGTATGGGAGGAGAGTGATATTGTGTGGGATAGTGGGGTGATATTGTGAGAGGGGGTGACAGTGTAGGGGTGATGACAGTGTGGGGAGGGGTGACAATGGGTGTGGAGGTGACAGCGTGAGGGGATGGTGACAGTGTGTGGGAGTATGGTGACACAAGACAGTTGTGGGTGACAGTGTGTGGGTGGCATGACAGTGTGTGTGTGAGGGGGTGACAGCGTGTATGAGGGAGGGTGACTGTGTGTGAGGGGGTGATTCTGTGTGTGGGAGGGGGTGACATTGTGTGTGTGGAAGGGGTGATCCTGCGTGTGAGCAGGGTGATTGTGTATGGGAGGGGGGTGATACTGTGTGTGTGTGTGGGGGGTGATTCTGTATAGGAGGAGTGTTAATGTGAGAGAAGGGGTGGGACAATGGGGTGATACTTTGAAGGAGGGGGTGATGGATTGAGGGAGGGGGTGATGGCTTGAGGGAGGGGGTGAAGGTGTGAGGGAGAGGGTGATGGTGAGAGGGGTAATGATGAGAGGGAGGGGGTAATAATGTGTGAGAGGTGGGTGATGATGTGAGGGAGGGGGGTAATAATATGTGGGAGGTGGGTGATGGTGTGAGTGAGGGGAAGTGATCGTGTAAGGGAGGGGGGTAATAATGTGTGGGAGATGGGTGGTGGTGTGAGTGAGGGGAGGTGACGGTGTAAAGGAGGTAATAATGTGTGGGAGATGGGTGGTGGGTGATGGTGTGAGTGAGGGGAAGTGATCGTGTAAGGGAGGGGGGTAATAATGTGTGGGAGATGGGTGGTGGTGTGAGTGAGGGGAGGTGACGGTGTAAAGGAGGTAATAATGTGTGGGAGGGAGGGGGCGTGTGAGGGAGGGGGCGTGATGGTGTGAAGGATAATAAAGTGTGGGTGATGGTTTGAGGGAGGGGACACTAAATACCTTATTAAATTCCCTGGTGGTCCAGTGTGGGCTCCCTGGTAATCCAGTGGGCTCCCTGGTGGTCCGGTGGGCTCCCTGATGGCCTGTTGGTGATATCATGCAGACCATGTATCTCGCGAGACCCAGTCAGAGCGTTGCCGTTGTAACCTGCGCCAAAGCTCTGATTGCCCAGATCTCGCAAGACACAGGTGATGCATCCACTGGTCCTGTTGATGTTAAATGTCTCAGTGAATGAGTTCTTGTTCTATCCCAGAAGCAGAGGAAGAAGCTCTGTTACTCCAAGCTTCTAGAGTGTCTATGGATGTACTAGTGGAGAAATTTCTAGTCTGACCTACACATAATGAAGCAGCATTCACAGAGATCTTCATTATTATCAGTGACAACCGGTGTGTTATGTGATGTCATGATCACCGTCTCGTGTCACCCTGTGG